ATCAATCTGATGTGTCCTTTTGAAGGCAGTTAACATCTGACGTGCAATCTGAGCGTTGTGTACCTGTATAACAGGCGATATTTTCCTAAAGAAAACAAACAGCCAGTGTTTGCCCAGAGATAGGAGCAGCTGCTGCACACCTGCCTGCAGCTCGCCCTCTCCTCCTCTCCGGACCGGTGTAGGTCTTTTGTTGCAACAAACAGGCAGGTGAGGAGCGACCGCCTTTGCGTAGGGTGTACATTTCAGCACCCGTTTAATTACCATCATGTCCTTGACATGTGAAATCGAACTGGCCCAACTGCGTTTATCTATAAATATCAGGCGTCAGTGGCAGTACATGCAGAACAAAGCCGAGCTCAGATGTAAATGTATGCAGGGTGTGTGATGGGAGCATCATGTCTACAGTAAAGGTGATGGGAATACATCTCTTGGGCATCTGTGCACAAACTCCACTGTCTGTCACAGTGAACAATTAGTAAAGAGCATTACATAGAACTGTGGCACCTTTAACATTTAATTAATCATTTTAACTGAAGGAAAGTGCTCTCTTGGGCAATAACGTAGGCCTGTAGTTTTTGAGTACTGTAAGCCCAGTTGTTCAGGCACTGGCCTACTCACATGAACATTGACACCATTTTTACATCTCATTTCCACTAAAACATGAGTTGATAATATTACTTTCACACTCTACAAGTAACATCTGTTAAGACTAAGTCCAAAAACAAATCCAGGAATTTGACACAATGGCCTATATTTGGCCAAGCTTCACATTTGACTGCCACACAGTGTGAGATTTGCACACTCCTGAGCTATGAGAGACACTTTAAATATAGACGGCATGGCAGGACAGTGTTGGTACAGTTGGGCAGTGGGATTGTGAACGGGATTATAATATTATGGTATACGGTGGTATTCATTTGACTCCAGGTTCCAGTGTGCCATACCACGCATAACATCCCCAGCGCACAATGCAAGGATCACTTTCTGCAGCATGAAACAGTGCCGGCATTGAGCCAGTGCCATTTCAGAATAGTGCTTGGAAAAGCCTTACAATTCACAGCAGCTTCCAAACATGTTGCAATTTAGTAAAAGCCATTGTACCTCTACACAGGAGAAGCATATCTCATGTGTATTTGTTAGTTACCATCTAGACTTCAGGTCTACTGGGTCTGTTTGCAGCAGCTCAGACATTTTGTATCTGTAGGCCTATTTTTCTTTGGTTTTTGATTGTTTTCAAAAACAGTTATGCAGAAAATCTTACATTTTGAGGAAATAAAATGCATTCCAAACCAAATATATCGTTTTTGCTGTGCTCATACCTCAAGTAATTGCCTTTCTGACTGACAGAGATGAAGATGCTTAAAACTAAAACTGATGATGTCAGATTAAGAGATAATGTCTTAAACAGGGAAGATGATAGATAATAAAACACAATTGAAATGTTTTCCTATGATTAACATGTATGTCACATGGCTAAATATTTTGGTTATTTATATTGCATGGTTTTAGTTTTTTATATACTTTACCTTTAGGTTTGATTAAATTGCAGGTTTTAGAAATCATGCAGTATAAATAAATAATAATAAATAAAAGTAATTGATTATTTGCCATGTGACAATTAGTCTATACTTTTTCTTAATGAAATTATTCGTATTTTTTCTCTTTCTTTTTTCAAGTAAGCCACTTTAACCTATATTTAAAATCTTGTGACCCATCAGCATGTCTAGCAATAAAGCTGATGATGAAGCTTACCCCCCCAGCAGCAGCAGCACCACAGCGATGTTTCCCCGAGAGAAACCACAACTTGGCCTCATCTTCGCGAACCATAGGTGAAAGTTTCTCAATACAAATTAAAGTTCCTTTCAGCGACGAATAATAAAGAAAAAAGCGATAAAAGAAAAGCAGGTGTTACGTAAACCAGAGAGTGTCCTGTGCGCGGTTCCGGTGAGGGGGATGCGGTCCTCAGTGTCCCGCAGACGGGCTGCTGTGTGCGGCTGTGTGTGTGTGCGGCTCCGGGGCTGCTGCGGGGCTGACTGGCTGTCTGTCCAGGGGGAGGAGGCTCTCTGCTCCACTCTCTGCTCCACTCACTGCTCCACTCACTGCCCCGCTGCTTCCTGCAACAGCAGGCAGCTCAGCATCTACAGGAAATTTAAGAGCATAATTTAACAGCAGGTCAGTCACCTCATTAACACTCTGCGTGGGGGAAAAAATATTAACAATTGTCATTAAATGGGTAATGGTGCATTTTAAAGGTGCAGACACTGCTTTTTTGTAGCAGGTGCGTTCATTTTAATCACTGCTTTATTGGAACAGTGCTGTAATCATTTATGTGTGAAATAAGGATGATTTCTCAAGCACCTTTAACATTAAGATGTTAACTCCAGTGTCATTTGAGAAACATTAGATGAACTGCCAGTGGGGAGGTGACAGGGCTTTTGGCTGCATGGTGAACCTGCTGAACTGCAGCCCTCACAATCATGTGGATTAATGAGACTTGACTAGCATACACGTGCTTTGTTTTTCTGCTACTTAAGTACTATTTTAAAAATAATTCAGTATTTCTTTTTGATGCTACTTTATACTTTTTCTTTACTACATTTCAGAGGTTCATGATATGCTATTTAATCCACATATATTGACCAACTTTAGCTCATTTAGAGATTCAGATAAAAAAAAAACTATTCAACTATTGAAATATTATGTATAGTTATGGATTAAGCTACACAGCACTATATAAAGTAATTAAAACCAGATCCACCTTTATTTAAAGAGGCAGTATTATGCTTTTTGGGGTTTCCCTTTACTGTAGAGTGCTATATAGCTTTTTTGCATGTAAATGGTCTGCAAAGGCTAAAATCCCAAAGTGTCTCTCCCACACACTGAAACGCCTCTGTTATATTCCTTTGTTAGCTTCTGAGACATAGTTACATCACTACGTAACACTTGCACTTCCATTGTCTAGACCTCCAACACATTATATGTGGCTAAGGGGCGGGACATCTCGTGTTGACAATTCACAACACAGCCGGACAGCTAACCCATCAGAGCAGATTGGGCTCTGGTTTCAGACAGAGGGTGAAAAGAGGTGCTGCAGCACAGGCAGTACGAGAAAAATAAAGAACCTTTTGAACATTAAAGCATGGAGACACATCACAGTAGAGACAGAAAAACAAATATGAAACCTGAAATGAGCATAATAGGGCCCCTTTAATACAACAATTGTGATCTAATAAAATAATATGAATGATTCTGAAAATGGCTTTAATGCACAATAAGAACATGTACTTATATTATATTTTGCTGATAATACTTACATTATTTTACTCAAGTAATTTTCTCAAATGTAGGACTTTGACTCGTAGTGGAGTATTTTTAGTGTGGTTTTACTTACTTTTTACTTCAGTAGGATATATACAATTCTTCCACCACTAATACCACGTAGCTAATACCACTAATACTTTACTTACTTTTTACTTCAGTAGGATATATACAATTCTTCCACCACTAATACCACGTATAATACCTTATACCTGCCAGAACAAAAAGAGCAAACAGTTGAGTGACTTTAGGTCTAAAGACTGCCTGTCGTTTAAGTGAGGGATCTCTCCGTGACAGGGTGGTGTGGAGTGATGCATTGCTGCAGCCTCAGGGCAGGACACCAGTCAGTCACACAGCAATCGCTCTCCAATCAATGTCCCTGCATGGAGCAAAAACACTGGAGCTCACTGGGCTGCAGAGGGACAGCAGGGCTTCTCAGGAGCTCCAGCAACTTTCACCAAGTGGAACAAAACAATGCTGTTATATTTCACCTGCTGTCTTTGGTTTGCTCAATATGTTTCCTGGGTTTAAAAAGGAAGACAAATGTGAGGAAACCATAGACGGTATATATGAACAGGAAGAAAGCTTTATCAGAAGTAAGCAAGACCTAAACATTTTTTTAGATGTTGTCAGTTTATATTTATAGTAAACATGTGTGTTGAACATCTAATAATATCCAGATTAGCTGTTTAAATGTTTATCGTGTAGGCTCAGCCACAAACAATGTTGGGGATGATATCAGTAATACTGGACACAATAAAAAAAAAATCATAACAGAAACAATCCATTAGCCTTATACAGCTTTTTGGGCTACATTGAGTTTTAAGTTACGTCCAGTAATTTACACGGAATTACAATTTTCTTTGTAACAAATAAAAAGGACTGTAAAAAGCACCAGAAGTATTGTGTAACCACGTTTGGGAATACAATTGTGCTTCCTAGTTTGAGCATGAGAGTAGATGGCTAAGAAAAGTGTGTCCATGTATTATTAACAGCTTATAGTTTAAGAGGGAAAAAGACTCAAGGCCGTTACTTAATGTTTCCGTTAAGGTTTCCGACATGATAAAAGTGTTATCGAGCCATCCCTAAAATAAAACCCTTTAATTACATTTAAAATAAAGTTATTGCTTGAAAATGTCCACTTTCTTCAAGATATCATGTTTTTTTCAAATGTGAAATTGACGTCAATATGTTAACAGATACCCAAATGGTCACTTACACGATATAGGAGGATGAATGTAATGCTGCTCTCTGCATCAAGGGAGAGCGTGCGGATCATTATGTGATATAAGAAGCTTAGGGGTCTCAATGAGAACATTGCATCTTGGATAAAGTTTCCATATGACAGACTATAGGTATCAAGAGACATAATGCTCAACAAGAATCAATAAAAACAAGGAAATGTTGTGGTGTAGTCATGGTATGTGGAACCACAATGCTATCTTATGGGCTTTTTATGACAATGTTACTGTATCATCAGAAATGTTATCTGAAACATAAGCACAATGCTCATCATCTCGGCTGTCTAGACCTTGCTATGGTGACCCTTAAGATTTTTCTTGGGATGTTTCTAATAGAGCTCATTGTGCTGTTGTAGTTCCTGTAAGTCTCTCAGAATGACTCAGCTAAATGCTTACATTTAAATACAAAGCTTTATCAATGCATGCAAACACACAAAGATATTTTTAGACTATTGATTTTATTTTCATCTCGAGGAGATGCGTTTCCATTTCTTGCACAGTGGTTTGGAGAAAGCAATTATGGACTAGAGTCCTGTTCAAAAAGGCAGGATGCACCTACAGGGATCCAGACTGTTCATAAGATAATTACCAAAATCACTACAGCATATTACACCGTTACTACGCCATCTGAGCAGTGTGTAATATGATTTCACTCTGGAAAGCAGCGTGATGCTGTCATTTCATTAACTAGATGTTCATTTCATGATGTACACATCACCTGACCTGATGCTAAAGTCACACAGCATGTTCAATACTGTCATGTAAACAAAAATATCAATAAATCACTCAATACTCAACCACGTGGAAACGTTATGTTCAAAAAATAAGCCCCTTTTCAGTAGGTGAGCATGTGTTGAATATCTAAAATGTGCTCAGGCTCTTGAAGGCGGCTCGTTGTGTTCTCTGATGAATTGGATTTCTGTCATTTCCCTGATTTTCTAATACAATGAGTGCAAGAGGTGTCGTTCCCATTAATGACACTCCTTTGTGAGCCGTGCATCTTGACCCCTATTAAAGTACTGTCACTCGGACAGCAGATGGTATCTGCACACGCACAGAAGGGGAAGGAGTGGCCATGGCAACAGACTCATAATGGCTGGCCTGGTGTGTAGTGGAATCACTCGGCCTCATTTGTTAAGTACCACCTCAGTATATTTGATTTAATCAGTCTATTCAGTGCACAAAACAAGTGGCATTAAATAAATCCTCAGCTGCCCACACTGACGGTGGAACAAACATCTTCTTTAGGTTTTCATACATTTTCATCATTTTTGCCTTCATGCAGCCAGTGTTTGATAATATTTTTTAAGCATTAGTACAACTCAATTGTACATGGGTAGGTTGTACATTACTGGAAAGTAAACCAAGCCAAAAACAGTCGGACACATTTCCCACAGAAGTTATTGTATTCCACATACCTTACAATAAATAGTGATTGTTAGAGTTGAACAATAAAATAATGTTATCTACAGAATGTAAAATAGGACAGATGAGCATCCTAGTTTATATTTTGAGGAAGAATTTCTTCCTGTACAGCAGGTAAGCGATGAGCACCCACAATGCAGTCCCCCACAGGCTTTGGAAGAGCTGCTCCCAGTGGCTCTCCTGGAAGCGCATCTCCCAGCTGAACGGGAAGTAGAACCCCAGGAGAGTGTGACCAACATATACAAAGATGGAGTTCATCCCTGAGGAGGAGAGGAGAAGAGACAAAAATAAGATCCTATCGAACAAGACTCTTTAGAGGAAATCTCATCCTACTTTGTACATTTGTAAAACACATTACGGATAAAACAACTGTATTGGGGGAGGCAGTGCAAAAGCTTTAAAAAGAAAAGTTAAACTTTACTTCAAATGCTTATCTCTGATTCTGACCAAAACCTCAGCTTGACCAAATCAGTAATAACAACCCCTACAAAGCTATCAAGCCCATTTTAGAAAACCTTAACAATATTAACCACTGCTGAAGAAAAGTTCTACAATATACAAACCAAGGCTGCTAAAGGATTGTTACTACTGCAAATAAACAGATAGCTAGCTTTGTGTGCCTCTTCCACTCTGACATTAGACTCCTTTAATATTAGCTACAATAGCTAATCCAGGGGGCTAATTACTGTGTTACTAATTTCTTTGGTCGAACTCTAAGACCAGCATTTTAATAGTTAATGTATAACTGGAATGGATCCTTTAAACCTGTAAAAACATGTTGCCATTTTGAGGCAGCGTAGACAAGATGTATACAACACTTACACAATATCAGCTTGATGATATAGCAAACTTGATAGCAAATAGTTGCATTTTATTTTTCCAAATGTAGCTGCTAAATGTTCCACTATGTTCAGCAGTTAAATTATTTTAATATAAGATAATGGTCACGGGATAAATGCGAGTGAGTGCATAATTGCAAATAGTCATGTGTTCAATCGATGTAAACATTCCCATTATAGCTTTTTTAATAAATTAGCAAGATGTCTAATCGTGAGTGTTAACATTTACCCCTGTATAATACATGTCATTCTTTGCTAGCGTTTAAGCAGTACCTGGGTATATGAATGGCTGCCCGCCCCACCAGCCTTTGATATCAGTGACATAGTACATGCCTCCCAGCAGCAGGAAGGAGACACTACCCATACACAACACAAAGGACAACGACCTGCGGAAACAAACCATCAGCAACACTTTACAACAACAGCAACATTTTACTCTGTACATCTGGCCATCACTAAAGTTGTGAACAAGGGTGTAAAAACACTGGGTCTATCAATCCTGTACTGCAGATAAATAACACCCAGTGGTCTCGAGGCACTCCAGCAAACTGTCCCGCAGTTTGCTGGATTGGTCTAAGGCATCAGCAGTGGATCCTTGGCACGTGCCCCGTGGAGCCGTGCCAGCCAGCCATGTCCCTGTCTGTTCCTAAGTGCAAGAATGTTTGATGTAATACCATCTGATGTAAAATGGCTGCCTCCCGGAGCCTCCTGGCTTTTTTTATTTTTTTTTATCTCCGCTGAAGTGGGGCCAAAAAGGACTCTTAGCTGGGAGTTAATTACTTCTAGACATCCAGGCAGGGACTCGTACTCAAGGGCTCAATAACCTGTGTATGATGAACTGCCTATAAAAGCCAGGCAGGTAATGGCGAGGGATGAGCGCAGCGTTAGCAGGAGGCCCCAGTGGAACATCATGAAGAATTTGCTTACACATCACAGATGAAATGGTATTCTTCCTGCTGCAACATTAAAATGATTCACTTCATATTAAGGGGAATGTGGGAGTGGAAAGAATGCGCAGGTCGTAAAGTCGTAAAGTCTGAGGTTGTTATTGCGCTGTATTTCATGCAAAACCATTACAAACGTGCCTTGTTTTACCAAAAAGGCATATGATAGTTTGGGAGCGGTTAGACTACACCGCGGTTATGTAGATGCTTTTCCCAGAGCCTGATCCCATTCCATCACACAGAGCTGGTAAAATGTGTTGTGAGTGACTAGAGAGGATAAAGCAAGCATCCTTTATTTTCCTGGCTGTGAGGAAGAGTGATCATGTTGGGAGGATGTATAACCCCTCCACCTCACACTCCCGACAACGCGGGTGATTATTTACAGTCGTAGCTGTCGTTAGAGGTAAGTAAACGTGTGTTTTAGCAGCCTTGATTTGTGCCTGTTGGAAACACATCCTTTCTTTTGTGAGGAAAAGTGGCTGGATTTAGAGGGTCAGGAAGCACTTACCAAAGGTTTTTATTGACAGGTATAAATCCTCCATCTCGCGTGCACTTAGAAAGGATGGCTGCAGAGATTCCCTAAGGATGGAAATGAAACAGATTTCAAATCGATGGAGGGCGATAAAGCGAGCAGTATTGGGCTGCTAAAACGTGAGGATCAGAATCAAGCAGAGTCCGGAGGATTAACCGATTATCTAAAGTCAGATGCAAAGTCCATCAAGTCACACACACTATATCGGACTACAACAGGCCAATATGTCCACGCTGGAATGTTATGCTCCTCATAGACACCCCCCCTTCAGAGTCACACCCATTTGAGGTGGACTCCACGGTCAGTTATTAACCACAGTACTGAGGAATAGTGTATGATCTCATGGACTCTTCATCAATGAGAGCTGTTACTGCCTCATCCATTTACCTTTACATATCATTTAGATACTTGAGGATACATTCTGTGCTCCAGAGAGAAACCCAGGGCAGTGGTTAGAATCCAAACATGCTTGTTAGGTGGATATCCATCATGTGTATAGATGACAGAATCGATGGTGTGGAAATAGCCTAGCCGGGGCTGGATTGAGTCTCCAGGCTATCCAGGCAGCAGGATGTGGGACGGGGCTGGTATGTGGGGCAATCGCTCAATTTCAATCTCTCACTTCTCGAGCCTGATCGTTGGATTTTAATTAACAGGGACTGTTGTTTATTAGCAGGAAGATGCATGGCCGCCCCTGGATATCAATCTGCTGTAGAAATAACAGAACAGAGAACTGTGGCGTAAAACCCAGCTTGTCCTTTACTGTATCAACACTTCTTTGTGAACCTCCTGTGCATAATATCAATCCTGTGGTTGGATGCCTGTAGAAATGAGCTCCCTCCTCCACTGTGGAGGCCTGCTAATGTCAAGAGCACATGTCTGAAACAAGAGGCTTCAGCTCTGCTCTCCTCCCTTCTGAGGCAAAATCGTATTAGAAAAGTCAATGTGAAGAGAAGGCAGATCGCTAAAACTAATTTTGCTTTCTTTGTCGCTGAAAAACATTTAGTGGGATTACAAATAGATTCAGCTGAAATTAAAGAAGGAACCAAAGCAGAACACATATGCTGTATTTACACTTTACTCACGGTCTGTATCTCTTCCCAGAATCAATAAAAAAACTCCAGCTCTCTCTGTCAACAATTGCAGTGCGAGAAAATCTATTTTATTGTTATTCTCTATTTCAGTTAACTGGGATTTTACGTCCCTGTATTGATCCATCTCTAAACACTGTATGATCCTGAATATAACGTCACAATTTTGAATATCATCATCTATGAGACATTACCAGGTGAACCCATGGGGATACAGTGGCGAAACATAAAAGCCTAATGTTTATTTATTTCCTGTTGTGTTACTTTATCACTCTGTGCCTCTGGGAGAAGCCAAATGGATCTAATTTATTTCACCTCCCTCCAGTCACTCGCTCCACAATGATAGTCAATAAGATTTAACACCCGGAGACATAATGGGGAGATTTGTCATTTAGGAATTGAGGTTAATGATATTACATTCTCACAACAGAATTTCAATTGATTCTCACATGTATGAGCAGGATTCTTCCTGATTTACAAACACAAAAAGACCCATTCCTCCAGTGCTGGATTTCTTGTATTGGATTTAGTACATAAATGTTAAACCTATTACAGTCTTATTCGGTTTGTTTGTATCTCTGTCTGTTAGATAGTGCCATAACTTAGTGTAAGGGTGAAGCATGAGTCAAGGAAGGTTTGAGCGGATCAGGATCGTGGGGCAGGTGCACCATTTTTTTTTCATTTATGTAAATGTGAATGCATATCATGCAAATAATAAATGTTAGTTTTGGAAAAATATCCAGAATTATATGGTGGGTGCAATTGCAGATTTGCATGTCATGGCAGACTGGACTATTTATTATTTATTTAGAGGTCTGGTCCCTCTGCCCTTCTAGTTTGATTATAATAATGTTGTAGGACCATATATATATATATATATATATATATATATATTTATTTATATACTGTGAGCATGGCTCTGGGGTTGGGGACCTCCTTTTATTTCCTATAGCAAGAGCATTAACTTGATTCTTTCGCGTTTAGTAAAAAGTTTGACGACTGCTAAATATATTGGCTTACAATTTGGGACAGACATTCATTGTTCCCAGATGATGGATCTCTATTTGGTTAACCCCTTAGTTCTCATATCGTGCCACCATGAGGTCAAAATATGAATTGTAATGACGTTGGTGATCCTCTGGCTTTCCATCTAACACCATCCCCAGGTCAGACATTTGCATTAACCTCAGATATACTTTCTATTCAGTGCTAATAAATACATTTTAACATTCTCCCAAACTATACTATAATGATGAACATGGTAAACATAGTTGCTTAACATTAGCATGTTGTTACTGTGAGCATATTAGCATACTCAAAGCACCATTGGGCCTAAATGCAGATGCACAGAGCTGCATTTCTCTCTGTAGTGTCTTCTTACATGCTGAGGAGTTAAAAGCTTTATATCATTAGAAAGTAACGACTGGAAGAGAAATATTATGAAGGCTAAAAGCTCTATTGAGATATTGCATAGATGCAGTAACGATAAAACAAAGTTAATGGATGGAATTGTTTACTTAATTTTAGGAACCTTCAGTCAGGTTTAATCACATTGGTCAAACAGTCACACATGCCAGTCAGCAGAAACCAGAAATATCAGAAAAGGCCCAGTAATTTATACACAAAAACTTCAAACTAATGGGATTAAACTAAGTGTTTTTCTCTGACTGCGTCTACTGGCCTCTTTTCATCATGCCCAGTTTCAAAGGCTGAGTGAGGCAGCCAGCTCCTCCGGCTCCATCATCGCTTCTGGCCACAGCTCCGCCGCTTCAGGATGTCTCCCTCCACAGCATGCAGGCTCATGCAAACTAACCCCGTTCTGCAAACAATCTCCTGTAGCGTCTCACTGTACTGTGCAAACAAACACGCAAAGCTCAGCAAAGCCTTTCCTCCTGGATATCTGTCAATCTCGTTAGGACGGACTAACAGCCTCCTGTCACAGGTTTAGAAATGCAAAACGGGACGTCTCATATAACACTTGGCTTCTGCCTGTGGGACACAATCCCCCTCCAAATGAAATAGATGCCAGCTTGCCTCTTCTTGTGTTGTGAGACCACCCAGAATAAACAAAGCTGCTTTCTGAGCTGATAACTACCAAAATGTGTGTTTTTATTATGGGTTTGAATGGATTTTTATATTGTTTCTGTTATACCAAACTGTCCTACAGTCACATGATTTGTCTTTAAATGTTTATTGAGACTTAGTGTGCAGCTATATGATTTAATTGTGCTCTTTATTAGATGCTGCAGACTGTAGTAGACATTGAATAACTCTTCTAATCTGCAACCACATGTAAGGCACCGGCAATGAGAGACAGTGTTACCCCCCCCCGGGGCGCTGGATACTCATGACTGCCCGGAAATACAGCCACACATGGATGTTGTTTAATTGTACTGAGATCACACACATGTCCTGGACTAAGTCCTGCTAATGAATGGCTTTGCCAGCGAATACCAGAGTGGCTGAAAAACATGTTGCAGTCTACCTTCATGGCGAAGTAAAACAGCAGGACCATAAAAGTGCTCAGCCCGGTGTGAGTCATAGGAGCAGGACAAGGTGATTTGTTGTCTTGGTTTTAAGTTATCAATTGACTTTTATACTCTATACTTTCCCAGCTGTGTTTCAAACCCCCACATTATGCAACGTACCAGGATGACGGCCCACACGAGGAATCGACAGAGGATGTAGACGTTTTTCCCCCTGTAGAAAATGATAATTTTCCCAGCCTGTGGAGAAGGAGGCAGAGATAAGCAGGGACACCACAACTCATTTAATCCTACATTTAATGAGAAATACCATGTAAACACCAGTAACGGGTGTGTGCATGTATTTGCCCTTGGGTAACCAAATATGCCTGGGATGTCAATGCTGTGTCCCTGACGTGGCGCTCACATTTCTCCTATCCTGTTGAGCCAGATGTGGCGTGTAAGTCATCCACACCCCCTGATTAATTTGGTGATGATGAATATGTTTCAGCTGAGGATATTAGCACGGGCAGCACAGAGGAGGGCAGCGGACAGCTGGCGTGTCGTCTAAGACTCGCTGACGGAAGGGCTCAGTGCTAACCGCCCACCGGGAATTAAGCAATGTGGCTGCTTTTGCAGGGCTACTTCCCACAACGCAAATTATTAAAAGTGACGCTGTCGCCGTCAGAAGCTCAGGTCTAAAGACCAAACGCTCTCTCCTCACTTTCTGACAACATTTTGTCATTAAAAGAGGGCAGCTGTGCACTTGCAATTAGGCGGGAAAAAGGTACTTAATTTAAAAAATAAAAATCTCTACCTGCATTTTAACTCAATATAACACAGCATTTAAGGCAAATTAATCAACCAAAACAATTTATAGAAGTTGTGTTTGCTTTAGATTGTTCTGAATGTTAGTTCATTTTGCAGGTGTACAATAAGAAAAACAGGATTTTATAAGCTCAATCAAAAGAGCTGGCACCTGCAACATAATCTAAACATTTGAGCCTGTCTTGTAAGGGAAGAGAGAACATAATTAACTGTAGTCTCACTGTCTAATATCAAAGTCTGAGCATTATAGTCCATCATTGATCCTCTAGTTCACATGTGTCAAACTCAAGGCCCGGGGGCCAAATCAGGCCCTTGGTGGATTTCATTTCGGCCTGCAGGATAATTTCTAATTACTATTAGATCTGGCCCGCCGGTATATATTGCACGCACACCTTCACTCAATCCTGAGGGTTTTCTCAGCTCAGAGCCCAAACATTGATGAACTTGCACCCGAGATGAGATGCCAAGTATCTGCTTGAACTAGCATCACAGCAGCAAACTGAGTTTTAATGGATGTTTCCTTCTGCACTTTTTCTCTCACGACAACAGGGCATGTTTGGTTTTTTGAAGCTGTTGTTGGCCTGTGGAAAAATGTAATCATAAGAAATGACTCCGGAAAATCTGCAGATAGAGCCATAAGAAATGAATGCAACTGATGATTTCATGTTTAATGCTGTTTTTATATAGGCAATCATTTAAGCTTTGTTAGTTCCAGGTTTAATATGTGCAATAAGTTCATTTCAATACGTTTTGCAATAAACATTGAACCAGTCCGGCCCTCGACTAGTACCCATTTTTTTATTTTGGCCCACTGTGTATTTGAGTTTGACACCCCTGCTCTAGTTAAAGAAGCTCTGGAACAGAAATGAAAAATATATTTGTATAATTGTACGGAAGTTATTGATTCTTTAGACTAGTTTCTGCCAGTAGTTTTTGACCAGTAAGCCTTTACATAACAAGCTTTGGTCAAATATGAAGAAGTTGCTGCTCTCAGCCAATCAGAGGCCAGTATTGCAAGAATTTAAGGGAGTCCCCCCAAATCACAGAAAAACTTACAAACTTAGAGTTTCAAAAATATATGAAAAATGAAATGTTTGATATCATCAAACTAATTATCAGTAGCCCTTCAATTAGCATTGATTCAATACGATAAACCATCCATTTACTAAACAAAGTATAATAAAAAGCATTGTGCCTATTAAAAGCAATAGTAAATTAAGAACCATCCAACAACAACAGAAAAGTATTGACACACAAAAACGACTCAAAACTAGAAATACTCTTGTACCACTTGTTGAATCACACAGGTCAAATGAATAAACCATCTTACCTGCATCCCCAGGAATCCTATGACAACAGAGTTTATTGTACCCAGAAGCCCCTCTGGGTCAAAGGGCTGCGTGGAGCGATACAATTCCTGAACAAAAGCAAGACAACAAGGACCAGCAAGGTTGTTTTAATACCACCTGCACGATTTTAAGAAGAATTGGTAAAATTATGAAAGGTGTGTGTAAAAAGATCTTACTTTGCATGTGGGGTATCTGTACATGTTATCCCCAAACATCCATCGGTCAACGTATCCTGCTGCGCCCCCAGTGCAGTTTGGGTAAAGACCGTCATCCCCAATTCCACCAGCTCCCAAATACCCTCTGATAACAAACAATACAGTTAGCATTCGAAAACAAGGCATTCTAATAGCAATGAAAAAGTAACAACATAACTATAAAGGATTTAAAAAAAATTATTTTATGAGATGATTTAACCAAAGAAAGTTCCTCAGGCCACATTTTCAATGTGAGAGATTTAGTTTAGTTCTTTATTTGAGCTCAACAAGATGTTGGAGGAAACACAAGAGCTCCTATTTGAACCAGCAGTATTGTAACAGTGATGTCATGCAGGGTCACGTAAATGGGGGGAAAACGCAGACAAAAAGCAGCACTGAGCAGAAGACGCAGAGCGAGGAAGATGGATCCTCTGCCTCGGCTCCTCTTATTGCACATGACAGACTGAGATTGGCTAATTATGTCCTCTGAAGCATCCACCACAGGCCCATAAATCACAGAGGTTCATAACACCAGCGACTCAAGGTGCACACTCACACCTCTGCTGCAGAGCAACAGCCCCAACGGGAGATTATTTCAGCATGGGGGGATTTACACTTTAAGCATACGTGTACAGTGGATTTATGAGTGGATGTTGCTTGGTATGTTATGCAACAGTGGAAGCCGTGCTGGGACTTACGTGGGGCAGTTGGGTACAGGCAGAAGCAGAGTGATGCAGAGCCACAGAGTCTCCAGCAGGACGATAATCAGCCACTGTGGCCAGTACAGGACCACGTCCTGGACGGGGTTCCACCAGTGATGCTGCAACACACATACATCGTGTTAAATGCACAATACTATTGTCTGCCATTAGGGGTGTTAATCAAAACAATAACAAAAGACACGTTTGGTAGTGTCATGAAGTATCGTAGGATCATAGGTGTTTGCCGGGGCCAAACACAACATTTAAAAATACATGTTTTTACAACGCAATTTAGCTGAACATTGGATGTCCCTGAGAGGCAGCGATCCGATTTGTTGCTGATGTTTTCCCAGTCTGTTATATCTCTCACAGGCTCCGCCCTCTACTGGACTCTATGGGTACTACCTTATCATGCAAGCATTCACCTACTGAGATTTCTATGGACGTAGCCGGCCCCGGGGCGGGCCTACCTGAATGCGTGCGCATCTCACTTCCGTATAAAACGAGGCCTCGCCTCCTGACCAGTGTTGCCAACTTGGCGATTTTCTCGTTAAATTTGGCGGATTTCCAAACCCTCCGGCGACTTATTTGTGTCAAAAGCGACTAACGACTAATCTAGCGATTTATAATGGTGTTATTAGCGACTTTTCTGGTGTTTGGAGACTCACATTGTTCTGCAGTTAACGAGCCGCGGGTGCTGCCGTGAGCCCCGCCTCCCTCCCATAGTACTCACAGGCGCTCAGACTGACAGTTGCCTGGCCGCAGCAGAGCTGCTGCTGCAGTCAGAGCAGAGAGGAGACAACCACACTCCCCCGCGTCGAGACTGCAAATGAATTGCGCATGCGCCAACTGCCAAGCCGTCCTGGTTTTGAGCGGGATTTAAATGTTGAATGTAAATGTTTCTTCACTCACTTTCACACTATAATAAATAACTGCCTTTGCTTTGCTTTGCCTCACACAGCCTCAGTCACTCAATCACCTCGTCCACTGTGTGTGTGCCTCTCTGTGACAAGCTAAACATCATGGCACAGTCTAAATTGTATTCCCAAAAATACAGAAAGGAGTGGGAATCAAACCCTGAGTATAAAGGATGGTTGAAGCCATTTATTGGAGATGACACACGGGCATACTGCCTTTATTGTAAGGGGGATTTCTATGCCAAACTGTCATGTTAAAACCCCAAAACATACTCAAAAGGCAAAGACATTTCTGATCTACTGTTATGGGCATAGATATGTCTCATAATTATTTGTGTGAACATAAAAATAATTTGTGTGTAAATATGTGATTTGTAAATGTAAAACAACATCCACAAATGCATTTAAAAGATTTGCAAACTCACAAATACATTTGCAAGTGTAAAACGGATCTGCAAATACGCTAAATATGTTCACAAATTAAAAAAAGATCTGTGAATATCTCTTTAACATTTACACCTTTCGATCAGGCATTTGTGAATCCATTTTGTATTTGTGGACCAAAAATGCGCTTGCGGATCTCAAATCTCTGTTCACGGATCTCAAATCTCTGTTCGCGGATCGTCTTTTTACACACACGGAATTTTGAGACATATTTTCCGCCGGTCTCGGCTCAAATCTACTCGTGTCACTCGGTTATTTTCGGAAACCACGTGATGAACAGCGGAACGTTAGATGCATTCTTCATCATCATCATCATGTTATAGTCAGGGTCGCCCCTCCCTACAGGCCAATCACGCAGGCTGCATGGGCCCCGCCTTGCGCAGGGGGCCCCGCCCAGAGGGCCTCAGCTGCTGTGCTCAGTTCTCCGCGCACCCACCGCGAGAGTGAGAGGTGACAAGGGGAGCACGTCTGTAACCCGACACCGTTGCAATTAATCGACATCTAACCAATCACGGCTTTGATACGGCCACGGAGGTGAAGAGATGTCGGTGAAAAGACCGTTTCAGTCCGGCTCAAGCAAGCAGTAGCGTGGCGTGGGGAAAAATGTAGGGGAAGCCCATTTTTTGGGTCGGGGGGTGGTCAATAACGTAACCAGATGAGTGATTACAGCGCCCGGTATCATTTTACACACATTTGTATCACACAGATGCAGGACTTGCACACGCCTGTTATCTAACCGAAAGGTCCGCACGCACTCTCCAGCTGAAACTCTCCTTATTAATTTAAGCATTTTACTTATTAATGTATGCAGACAATCACACAATCTATGTGATTTTTGGATTTACCGTGCCTCTCAATTGCCCGTGACAGGTTGGCAAGGTCGATTAATCCTGAAGTTGCCCAAGGATTGTTCAGGGAGCACGAATCCTTGTCAAAAAGAAGACATGTCCAGCAAATTAGACGCTGAAGTTTAGCGCTTCCAGTTAGCCACTCCGTGCGGACATAATTGTCCTCATTGAACGTCCGATTCTCTCCCTTTTTCCTCTGCGTACACACAGCTCGAGTGCGGGCATTTGCCTGTCATCTGATTTAATTTTTAGTTGCTGCTGTAGCGGAAGTTTAGTAAAGTTATGTTTGATTAAGTACGCCAAATCTCCACCCTCCATAATGCTTCATTTGCTTGATAATTTCTAACGGCGGTGATGACAGTTACAGTATTAAAACTGATGTTGATGTGATTTGATTGGATGGCAGTGTCCAATCAAATCGCCAGCCGCCAGCCGCCTCTGAAGGGAAGCAAGAGGCGGCTAGCTTCCCTTGGCATGGCCCTGACCAATCACAGGTTGGCAGGGGCATCACGTGGGCCTCATCTGATTGGTCAATCCCTCCATTTTTTTTTCACCAAGGGAAGCTAGATTCGGCTGGCCTCCTCTCGCAACAGTGAGTGCAATCTACTGTTTCACCATAACATCTAGAGGGGCGCTGTTTGTTTCACTCTTTGTAAAATACTCAATGAGAATGGGGGAGAGCCGGGCCGGCAGCAACACACAGCAAAGGAGAATTATCGAAACAAAACAAAGTGTTTTTATTTATTTATTTAAATTATAACTACAATCCGAAAAAACAGGGGAAGCCTGGCTTCCCTTGGCCTCCGGGAGAAAACGCCACTGCAAGCAAGAGGGGAAAAAAACAAAACATGAAGAAACTAGAGCATCACTCGAAGGTGGGTTATTGTATGAGTCAAATGTACAACTTGCGAATGTTGTATAAGTCAAATTGCCAATTGTCATATTAAAACATCTGCTGCAATTCACGACATGAAGAAGGCAGTCTCTGCAGAGCATGTAGGCTAATGGAGATGCAGTTATTTCCAGCATTCTTTATTTACCATTAATTCAAGTCTTATGCCTTTTATCTGCTAACGTACAGGAGGAAGAGTGATAAACGGTCTGTCTAGTTGGCTTAAATAACAGTTAAAGTTTACAGCCTAAAAAACATGGAGCATTTTTATGTCAATTTGCACATTTCATGGTGATGCTCAGCCTCTCCCCTTAACTCCTAACAGTCATCATCATGTCAACCACAACACAGAGAAATACTGATAGCAATGTGTGTGTAGTTGTTGATGCATTGCTGACAGAGGGAACTAGAATACAGATTTAAGAAATATCAGTTTTTGAGCATGTCATAAGCATGTTTTGTCTTGACTATATTACAACTATATTATAATAAAATAATATAGTATTTATATTATTGAATTTATTATTATTAGTAGAAGTAGTTTATTTGCATTAATTATATTTTAATCTTTTTGAGGCTAGTATTTGGCAGGAAATGCAGACGTATCACCTGTAAACGCATACTGAACGACATACATGCACATTTACCATTTACCTCACTGTATAAAAAAGTAACTGTGTTGATAATAATAATAAACAGGAATTATATTTGCAAAGTACTTTGTTTCCAAAACATTTTTTTTCACTCCTGTCGGTTGGGGGAAGGCCTCATCTCACAATGTCGCTTGGGGCCCCAAGTTGGCCAGGGGCGGCCCTGGTTATAGTGATACAGTTAGTTTGGTTCAATGGTTCAATATAGCATATAGCCTATCGAGCACTTTCGTTGATGTTGAAGTGCAGGCTATACGCCACTTTCGGGTCCCGGGGGAGCAGCTGGCAGCGAAACAGCCCAGATAAAACTCTTTCTTCATTGTTTGTTGTGTATTCAGTCAAGCGGGTCGAAGTTACAAAGCACTTCACATCTTATTAATCGGCCTAATTTTACCTTACCAGTGCAGTAATAAAGTAATCTGTAGAAAAGCACCGTATTTAGGTCAGGGTTATGGTGATGAAGAATGCATCTAACGTTCCGCTGTTCATTTTAATACAAAAACAGAGCATTAAACAAACCATCATGCTCTTACTTTGAAATCATGCGGAAATGTCGTCATCAGCAGGCCATCACGTGGTTTCCGAAAATAACCGAGTGACACGAGTAGATTTGAGCCGAGACCGGCGGAAAATATGTCTCAAAATTCCGTGTGTGTAAAAAGACGATCCGCGAACAGAGATTTGAGATCCGTGAACAGATATTTGAGATCCGCAAGCGCATTTTTGTTCCACAAATACAAAATGGATTCACAAATGCCTGATCGAAAGGTGTAAATGTTAAAGAGATATTCACAGATCTTTTTTTTATTTGTGAACATATTTAGCGTATTTGCAGATCCGTTTTACACTTGCAAATGTATTTGTGAGTTTGCAAATCTTTTAAATGCATTTGTGGATGTTGTTTTACATTTACAAATCACATATTTACACACAAATTATTTTTATGTTCACACAAATAATTATGAGACATATCTATGCCCATATACTGTCGTCTGGATTTAACTCCGGTGGTTTCAAGTTTTGATCCTTGAAGGGTTGGGAACGTTTTTTGCCTACAGCCGCCATTACATGATATGCAAATTAGGCGATGACGTCATTTAGTGACTTCTGGCGACTTTTCGGACAGCCAATAGCTACTTTCCTTACTATGAGTTGGCAACACTGCTCCTGACCATCATCCTTTACTCTTCAGCGAGCGGAGGTGATAGCCTAGCATTGTCCTACACTCCCCGCCCCTGCTGTAAACCCCAGTATAGGGAGCCAGCAGGTGGGCGTGTGCACGTGAGTGGAATAAACCGTGTGCTCTCAAAGCACTGTGCGGGTTCAAGAGACGCTATTGCCGGCGTGCTGTTGTCAGAAAACACACCT